AAAAAAACAACCATACCAAACCAAAAAACCTTAAGAAATACTTACATACGGTTAAACTGAGTAGCACTTATGCTGATAATGAGCTGCTGAATATGAGAAACTAGCCATCACCACTAAGAAGATGATGGTGAAACTAGTCTGTTAAAGGTTTTGAAGTGTGAGTAAAGTTGCAATACAACTAGCAAATGCAAATTTTCAGAGTCACACTGACATTAACTATTTGGGTTACATCACCTAATTATGTCATTCAAAATATCTCTTAGTTTGAAAATTCATCAGTCCTGGAATAACATTTAAATGCCATATTCCTATGCTTGATATACTTTTTCTAATTATATTAAATATATTTCTAATCTATAGATCTTTTAAATTAATAAGTAATTAAAATATTGACAGTATTATCAGTAGTAATAGTAAATAGGAAATACAAATACAGTCTTTTAAACCAGAAGGACTTTGTCATGCAAGAAATTACAAATCAGATTCTTTTTTGTTGTTGTTGAAATTATATAGAAGTTAAATTTCAACTTCTTTCAACGGATATTTTAAAAATAACTAAAATGTTTTAAAAAATTGGAAACAATACTTTGTGATCAGCTTGTGCTCTGACAACCATTATTGATCCAGTGGAATTTATGTCCTGTCTACACTGGAGCAAGGCAGAACTAATTTCAACTTTTCTAACAGGAGATCTACTTTTTATTGGTAATTGAACATGTATTCAGCAGTATTTGAAAAGATATCAGAAAAGTAACTGGTAAAGATTATACAACCAGCAGATTCTCTTTTCTCAGTAATATTATATCCAAAAAGCCATTTGGCTCTTCCAAAATGAGGGAAGAAAATAAAAGAATATAATAAAGAAAGTATTTCCAGGCTGTAGTTCTGTGACTGAATGTTGCAGAATTAGATGTTTACTTGAGTTGCTTTAATTTTATCCTTCTATAAGCACTAAATATCTACCACTCAAGAAACTGTATTTCCACTCTTCACAGAAAAATGAAGTATTTAATTTTAGGAGAGCCTACATTTTAACATACCAAAAGATAGGTAGTATGTAGCAAACAGCTATATATAAATCAGCTTGAAAGAAAATTAAATGAAAACCAGAGAACAAGCAACCATCACATCCTCATGCCAAGCAGCTGGTTCTGGGAATTAGAAAGCACTTTTTTTGTGTGCCCCATAGTACTGATGGCAGTACCAGGCAGGGAAGGACCTGTCTGTCATGTATGAGAGGAGACAGAAGAGAAGTAGGAGCTGTTCTTCCTCTTTTCCTTCATCCCTGCAGCCGCCACCACTTCCCACCTGTCCACATGTCCCATTTCTACTACCCTAGCTGGCTTGGAGCTGCCTGAGTTACAGTTTTACATCTCAAACCTGCATGGTAAAGGTGGGAAGGAAATGGCATATTTTCTTGGCATGTTGACCTCTGCTTTTCTGCTTTGCAACTGTTTACATTAATTAGATGACATAATCACTGATTATATAAGTAGTCAACAGGATCAATGCTCAACAAACATGCACAAACATATTCAAACTCTTCTGAGAAAGAGGTGTTCGTGGTGCTTAAATATTTACTTGCAACTGTTCAGAGTCCTTCTGCACTAGACAGTGCCTTCATTGATGAACACATCATGCAGCACATTTGAATATAAGAAATAAAAATCACAGCAATAATCAAAAAGATTTTACACTGTGAAGAGACAGAAAGTACGTTTAAATTCCCATTTTGAAGGCATAACTCAGCAGTGTCTCCCTGTGCCATCTGTGTTTCACCTGCAGGTTTCCAGAATGCCTCTGACATCCACCATGAATGTAGTGCCAACCTAAACACCAAATTCACAACTTCTCTTTTGGAGAAGATCTTTTTACAGATAAATAATCTTTTATCACCATTGCCCATTCCAAAAAAACTGAGAATTCAGGACTTCAAACAGACAGCATGTGGCAGTAAAAACAAGGACCTTTCACTGTTCTTCATTCTCCCTTTCTCCACCTTCCTTTACTTTTTCTAGCTTCAACACCACCTGTTCTGTGCTGCACAGAATCAGTTTGCACAGGATGTGAAAACACATTGTGTTGCATAGAGAGATACAGAGCACAAGGGAAATGCTATGCTCTGCATAGGGCTGCTACCTCGTATGGAGAAGCTGTGGAGAAAACTGCTTGGGAAGCTACGTATCAGGTGTCCATGAGGTACTCACAGATGTAACACAAAGCATAACCAATATCCTCTTCAACTGCTCATAGCCCAGGAAAAAATCTCTATCTTTGACCTTAAAAGTACTATACGTTCAACCTGTTTGAAGTCAGAAGGGACAAAGTATTTCTACTGAGATTTTTCAACTGTAATAGATTTCTATTACATTTGAATAACTTATAAAACATTTTTTTAAATGTTGTTATTGCCAGAATGAAGCATATGCACCTGAGTGCACTGATGCATTTCTGATAGGAATTAGCCTTGCACTTGAGCATTTCACTGAAATGCTTTTTGTTTCATTCCTGTGGCAAAGCAGCAAAAGGAAACAAATCCCTACTTCTGGCTATCTAGAGTACACAGATACGCATGAACTTAAGAACATACTAGCTCTAAAATTCTTGTTTAAACAAGGTTCATAAAGAGGCTAACCTTGTTTCTATTCAGTATAGAGGGGGAAAAAAGGGCTTATTCATGCAAACTATATAGTAGAAATCATATAGCAAAAGAAAGAAATATATTTGGAGTAGTAAATACTGTCTCTATTACCTTATTGAAACTTCAGAACACCAGGCTGGATAAAGCCCTGAGCAACTTGGTCTGACTTCATATTTGGCAGAACTTTGAGCAGGTGGTTGAACTAGAGGCTTCCTGAGGTCCCTTCCAAATTACTAACTGTGTGTTTCTAGGGAGTGAACTGGAAGATATCAGAGAAGTTCCCTGTGTCAGTTAGCCATGTGTGGGATTACAGGCAAGCCACAAAGAGGAACTAAAAAAGTTGGTACACCTTTGTCTCAGAACTGCTGATGTCAACAACCAGGGCACACTGAGAACAGGTGGCCACTTGCAACAAAAGTGAATGTGAGGCAAGTATATAGATGATGCTGCCTCCACATTTATGGATTGTATCCAGGCATGTGTTTTATATACAAAAGACACAAAACAACAAAAGTCCCCCTTGCATCACACAAATATTAGTATTTTTGTGGAAAACCATTCCTATTCTAGAAAAGCTACAGGGTCTCCAGTGAAATGAGTTATAAATCATGCAAGAAAAAAAAGAAACAACAACAAAAAAAATAGCAATTAGTTTGAACCAGTAATGTAATATGTCATTTGAACTAAAAAAAAACAACAAAGCCTAGTATGCCTTGCTACAGACTGTTTAGTTTATAAACAATTGGATGATTACTCACTGATCTAAATTTTTGATAAAGTGGTAAAAGAATATCAGAAATAGAACTTACATTCTAGAGATGTTGGGGAGATTGGAAAATGCTTCACTTGGAATTGTTCTTAGATGAGTCTCCATAAACCTCCTATAGAAATAAAAGTTTGCCAGTTAATATTCTCTGTTAAGTACAATTTAACATTAAATAGTCATATGTAACTCCAGCTCTGCTCCAGTAATTCTGTTCTTATCTTCTCTTTTCCCAGCTTTTCCATCCTTGCCTTATTCCTACTCCTGTTTCATTATGCATCTTGGTTTGCTCGGTGTGCTCACCAGCCAAAATTCAAGTAAAGAGTAATTGCATGTTATCTCCATAAAATTCCCTACATGCTCTGTAGTAAATACACCATCCATAAACATCTGATGCGTGGGTGGTAGGTATGCTGTTATTTCTTATGTCCAGATGAGGCTGTACTTCAGGAGAAAATAGAAATATGTATCTCACTTGTCTGCAGAAGGTTTCAGAAAAACAGGTAATATTTAAGGGAGACATATATCAACAGCCAAGTTTTTAACCGTATGAATTCCCAACAGACTGACTGTTCCAATAAACAGGAGGAAATGCTTTAGAAAATTAGCCTATAATATCTTTAGACTTACAGTTACAAACGATCATTGCTGAATGAGGTCATTTTTTGTTTTCCAGTACATCTGGGATTATAGTTACATAATATACAGTCAACTAACAGTCTGAAGAGTAACCAAGAACAAAATATAGTCATTTCTCACAGTTTCTCCTAAGAACAACTTTGTATGATATGAATGAACAAACATTAATAATGTTTTCTGTTTTCTTCTCATATATGTAACGTGTACATATATATGTGTTACATGCATAAGCAAAGAGAACCTAAAGGTTATTTATCCAAAGTGGATTGATGTTTCTCCTAAATTTAGTACCTCAGTTTCCTTTTCCCTCCTCCACTTTGTAAAACTGGTTCCTCTGAAGATCACAATCCTGGGCAAAATGTTTGCAAACTATAACCCAGCTACAGTGTGCTGACCTTGCTGTTGTGTTTCAACATCTGTCTGTATTTACAGTCCTTTTAGGAAATCGAAAATGATGACTGAGAAATTTCTGTTTCAGATAGATTTTAAGAAGTATTGAAGTAGAACAGCGTGGACAGATCTTGGCAGGCTGGAGAAATGAGCTGACAGA